ACTTTAATAATATATAGGTGATCACTGAGTCGGAGGAACATAAAAATTGTTTTTAACTTTAATTACTACTGCAACTGTACTAACTATTCATTTTTTAGTTAAGAACGTGATTAGATGTGATTGGTGTCGTGCCTCACTGGAGCAGGATCCGAAAATAATGCTACTCAATATTAAAATAAAACCAGTTGCTTTCGTCATTAGCAACTCAATTAAGTGCCTGTGCCACCCGAAGTTTCATAGAAATTAGTCGCACAAGATTCCCAGAACCAAGGATCATTGATGTCAACACACAGCTTGGATCTCACAATCTATATTAATAAAAAAATAAAACCAGATTTGTCTTGCTTGATGTACCTTGTTTAGACCGAAAATTCTATTGTCTTTAATTTCTTTTCTGTCCATCTCCATGTTCAGACTAAATTTGTGTTCAATTTAAAATTAAATCAAGTAGAATCTTATGAGAAAAGATATTTTAGTACTTTTTTTTTATTTATAAAATTTAAATTTAAATTTAAAATTTTATTTAAAATAAACCTAAATTTATTTCATTCAAATAAACATATAATTGGCAATTTGCCACTATTTTTTCCCTTATAACAAACAACTAGACCATTGTATTTCTTTTGGAAAAAACAGAGGTCTCAAGTACAGGCACAACAGGGGGTTCATTTAATTACCCCGAATAACAGGTGATGGCAAAAATATAAGTAAAACCAAGAAAAAGACACATATAATTAATTGATGATGACAATAAAAAAAAAAAAAAAAAGTCATATGACAAACAATTTAATTACTACTTGAAAGCAATTAAGTGTGAGGGAGAGAGATCATAATTGAACTGAAACTAGCTAGCAGAAACACCCACAGTGCAATGTTGCACGAGCTGAAACTTGATCGGCGGTCCAACTGGCACCACTCCTTTGCTATGATCGCCCCAGGAAATATAAGCAGGACAGTTGACGTTGATGTGATACTTCCCTGAAATCCACGTTCCCACCTTCCACTTCACCCCCCCATCAACTTTGATGTTCATCAGCACCATCCCGGTACTCATGTCCTGGCTCAACACGGCACTCAGAAGCGGCGACACAGGCACCGCGTTGCCCAACAGATACGGTGACCAGAGAGTGATGTCCTTGTGTCCTTGGTAACTGCACGGCAGTAGCGTCGGTAATGTGATCTGTTGGTTACGGTAGGTGGCGTAGATGTCGAGTCTGTCATAGAAAATACCGATCCGCTCATTGGGGTTCCTGGAAGAGAGGGTAACCTGCATGTTGACATTCAGGAAGTTGGGTTCCGAAAGGTTGAATGCGTATACTGTTGCATCTTGGAGGATAAACTGTGGCGCGTGGGGCTGGAGGATCACCCAGACAAGGAAGATGACGAAGCCAAAACCGAGGACAAAGGCGAGTATGGCCATTAAAATCCGCTTGCGCAGCTGGTCATCGGGGTGGTGATGGTCGCAGCCCTTTTGATTGCCGCAGTCCTTTATATCTGTCATGGCTGATCAGCAAACAGAAAGAGAGGAAAAACACAAGGGTTGAGATATTGGGGAGATAGATTCTCAAGAGCAAGATATGAATGGAGATATGTGTTTAAATATAGGAGATGCTTATAAAATTGTAGTCATGAAAGCTTTGGTGGGCCTTTTATTTGTTCTTTGGACGTTAGATGAACTGAAAAATTAATAGAAAATGATTGTTATATATTTGATTTAATATATATTTTTTATATTTATTTGATTTAATTATTAAAAATATAATATAAATATAATTAATTTTTATATTTTATATGTTTGATTATTTTTAAAATTTTTTTATTAAAAATAATAATTTTTTAATAAATATATTATATAATATATTAAATAAAGACTACGATACCATTAGTCTCTAAAGTTAATGTAAATTGTAAAGTGATGAAGTAGGCGATGGGAAATGGGTGGTGTGTGCATGTGAACTGAGTGTCCTTTGGGACAGACTTTTATCTTGGCATCTACAGAAGGACAAATATCCACACTAATTTGAAATACCAAAATTCAAGTCTCTGTTGACCTCTATAGGGTCACCAATCGCATCTTTTCGTAGGGGTGCCTTTCTTTTAGAAAGAAAGTATGTTTCTTTAATTATACATGTATACATTATTAATGTTGTACTACATGTGACAGCCTACATGTGCATTATGTGTGGTACTTATTCAATTGTATGTGCCATTTTGGACAAAGCGGATGAATTTCAACGACCAAAAACCATGGACTTAGGCAAACGATATATGTGTTTTTGGAGTAACTTGAATTGTTTTGATCGAATAGGTTTGGGCAATGTTTGCTGCATATAATTGATCATAATGAGGTCCAAAAGAATATGTGTATGAGCTGTTCACATGGTGGTTGTGAGTGGGAGATGGGTAATGTGACGAAAACAACCAAAAAGAAAGATCCAATTTTTGCCTTAGCTTTTAAGGGAAACGTTAAGATCATCAATATGAATTTCCCAAAAAATGTTTATGTCCTAACAAAGCATAATTCTTTTTCTAATTTCTTTTTCCCTTCTATCATTGCATTTTGATGTATACTCTTTCCTAACATTCTAGCTGCATGCTGCCATCCATTCGACCACACCATTACAATCTCTCTTCTCTCTGCAATATATACTAATTAGACTCAAGTTCAGGAATCATGAAGTAGATATATATATATATATACACATTACCGTTCTTTTATTTCTTTTTTAAAAAAACTTGTTTTTGGTTTGAATTAGTAATAAAATGTCAGTTTAAATTGAAAATGACCACAATATATTCATGAGTTTCCTTAACATGATCAAAAAGGCACTATAGTCCTTTCAAATCTTTAATCGATAAATTTTTTTTTATTGTAAGGACGGAATGAAAAACAATAGTTTCTTTTCTTTATTACTCTTTCTGCAAAGTAGATAATAAAAAAATGACACGGAGGCTATACTTTTATAGCTTGTAACACTTTAAGCAAAAGAAGCATGTTCTCTTCTTCCCTATGGTTCCAAGAACTCTCCCTCTCTCTCTTATGAATAGTGGATTAAATAGAAAGGGACAAACTAGAAAAAAGTGTGAGGAACAAAGCATGAGGTAAGCAACGGTTTGTGGTTATCCCTTCACTCATGAAGGGCAAATAAAAGCAGAATATCCTTGGCAGAGAAGGAAAAACAAAAGTTGACAAAAGAGCAAAGAAACATTAAGCTAAGGTTCAATAGCAGACCTAAAATTGAGAAAAAGAAACATATTCGAAGACGACATACATATTTATTAGACTTGCACAATCACAATAATAATATAATTATTTTCGTTGTTTAGTGGTCAAAGTATTTTTAGGTTAGTTTATGTGTACTTTAAAACCAATTTCTTTCTAATTCGATCAAAGGTTGGTTATTTACATTAAAACTAAAAAATTCATAAAAAATTATTTTTTCATTAGCCTTCTCAAAGATTCAAACATTGGTTAACAAGGTAAAAAATAAATCCCCTTATTGAATAAGCCACAACTTGTTGAATACAAAATACACTACTAAAATTCTTCTTTTTAGCAATTAATCATCAACAACATGGAATTGCTTGTTGGTGATATAGATTTTCACCAACAAGACTCATGTTGCTGATACCTATAAAGCAACTAATTTCCCAAAAAGTGAACTCAACTTTCAGCAACATGCTTTTTGTTGCTAATGTTGAACATCAGCAACAAGGATAGTGTTGCTGAAATTCTCTGGTGTGGGAAAGTTGCTTGAACTTTCAGCAATAAG